TATTAAACAGGATACTTTGTAGTGTTACTATTAAACAGGATACTTTGTAGTCGTTCACCATGATCACAACTTTTTGTCTAAAGAGCGTATATTTATGTGAGCCACTTTGCTCTCTTTGTCTGACTGTAGATTAAAACACCATGTAAAGTGTAAACCATGGTTATACTCTCAGACCCCTATGTACCCACTGAGAAGTGCAAATGTACCCTTGGGGGTACATGTCCCCCAGGTCGGGAATGTATGTTGTAGTCTCTCATCTTGTCTTCATAATACAGCACAAAAATCAGAGTCATTTGTTCCATTGATCCTCTGGATAGTTTGTAAACATCAGTAAGATCGCTTCTTACCTGTCTTTTTCTCAAGAAGAAACAAGTTAAAAGATTTTAACATATTCCTATAAGATAACCCTTAAAATCTTAAGAATCATCCAAAAAACCCTCTTCTGATCCATTTTTGAATCTTTTCTTAGCTATAAAGACCAAAACTTTACACAGTACTATAAGTGGAGCCAAACTAGTGATCTGTATAGAGGTAATTACCTCTTTTATATTGTAATCAGTGTTTCTAAATACCCCCCTCAAATTATACTAGCAACAAAACACTACCTCAATGACTTATATATCACTTTGCCAAGTCACATTGCTGAGTTATTTTAGTAGGTTCCCATCTATATTAACATTACAGGTATATGCCAAGATGTTGAACATAAGACCTCGTGGTCACAGTGGTAATGTAATAATTTCTCAAAACTTCTCTTACTTACAACAAATCCTAAATTGTAGAGAACTTGACAATAAGATGGGAAAACAGCTCTTTTTGGCACGGTGAATAAGAAACTAAGTAACATTTATGGGTTCTTCATTGTAAATGTATTTAAAGAGTACAAGTTTATGAAAATATATTCTAACACCTACGAGTGTGTTGATGTAGTATTTAGGGATGTACTCTTCATCTTGCAGTAGTTTCTTTTCCTATGTTGTAATTTTTTATAATTTGTGAATACACGTTTTTTCTACTTCTCATTACATTTTATTGTAATTAAATTTAAATATGTAATTTCGGAATTTACAATTCTGTTATTGAATAAACTGTCACAGTGTATAATGTTATTTTTCTAATGTATTCTAAACTTCTTTAAAGTTTGCTTTACATATTTAGTATATGAAGAGTGATATACTGGCTTCTTGTAAGTGGAAAAAAAAAAAATCAATTTTTCTTATCACTTTTGGTTTCTGATTCTCATTGTTCCAAGGTGTTCCAGTGCTTGGGACAAAGTTACCACCCACTGGATTGATACTGAGAATTTAACCACAGTCAGTTTACATTTATATTCCAAGTACACAATGCAATATCTAGTGGATCTGAAGTAATAAAGAAACAGTAATGTGAGTCTAAGTTTAATTTTAATTACAAGATCTTTTTTGTCTCTGTAAAAACATTGAAGTGTTGTTCAAAACACTCATAAATAGTTCAATCCAACTGTGATTTATTTCTTGGACATGATTCTTTCTGGGACTGAAAACACACTGAGGGTTATAAGAAGGAAGTTAAGTGAATAATAGTTGCCAGAAACATCACAGTTCAGAAAAAATTGGTGACAGATCATATTTTTCTTATGCTGTTTTTGATGATTTTATTCTCAGATTCTGCATTATTCCCTGTACTCTCATGTTTTTTATTAATATTTTTTGCGCAAAATCTTTTCTTGTCAGAGTCTCTTTACTTATTGGATCATTTTACTAGTTTTCAAGACTTCTAGTTTGAATTTGAAACTACCGTTTGAGATTAAGAAGCACCCCCTAAGAACTTAGCATTCCAATTGTATGTTTTGTGTATCATGTATTTTTGCAGACCACTTTAATCACACATGGACTGAGTCCCTGTGCACGTCATGGTTGTACATCCTGTTGTATATAAATGTTTCATTTTATTCAATTTTTAAACCCTTCCTCTTTTCCATTCTTGAGACTGTACAATAATTATGGCCAGGTTAAGAATTATTTGGGCCTTGAGCACAGATGCCTTGCCTACCCTCATATTGTTATTATACGTATCCATGTTTGGTATTTACAGCTGTTACATTGAATATTAAATATTTATCATATGTGGATGGTACAGTATTATCTCTGGTCTGCTAATATTAATAAACTGAAAATACAGTCTCTTACATTTACAGATGTCTGGTAGAAATACAAAATGCCAGCTTCCATTGAATACTTCTTTTATTATTCACTGTTAAACAAGAATATGAAGTAATACTTTTGTGTAAAGTTAGCTTTGTTTCTTTTATTTTACTTTTTTTTACTGTTGTTGCAGATGTGTGCTTTCATAATCTTGGTATCATTTATTTTCCCATGAAAATAGTAATTTGCATTCTCTTTAAATCAGGTTGCAGATTTGAAAAAGGAGCTGAAATCTAGAGGGTTAACTACTACTGGCAACAAAAATGAACTAATTGAGAGACTGCAGAAAGCTATGCACTTACCAAAAGGTTGGTTGGACTTGTATAATCTGTTTTTTTATTACGTTTTCATAATTTAGCCCATTGATTTTGAGGTGTTTGTAATTCTGCTTCATATCGCTTCTTATTTTGTGTTTGGGTATGCTATCAGAAGAATGAATATACTAACTCAAATATGTTTGAGAATCATGTATCAAAACAGTTAATATACTAACTCAAATATGTTTGAGAATCATGTATCAAAACAGTTAATATACTAACTCAAATATGTTTGAGAATCCTTGTATTTTACATAATTATATATATCTTAATCTGACGAGAAAATAAACTATTTGTTTACCAAAAGCTGTTAAATGAACATTGCTAGAGTTTCCCAAATAATTTTGTGCTTAAGCATTACTTCAGGCAAGAATTTTAAACAAGATGACAGCCACCTGCTTGTTGCTAGTCGCTTCGATCTCATTGTTTTTAGTTATCTAAATTTTTTGGGTGGCATAAAGCCTGACCTTGGCTAATGAAAGTGGGATAATTAATGTAAAGACAGCTTAACTGTCAAGTGTACAGGTGTAGAAGCAGTTATATATTCATTTTTAACACCTTTGTATTAAGTAGGGCTTCAACCCTATCTCTACGGGTTTTCCTATGGTCATGGGTCAAAGGCCATGTCAACGCATTTGTAGACTCACGTTCAACATTTTATTGAAATACTATTTTATGAATTTATGTTAATAAGTTTGAGATCAAATGGTAGATTATAATTCAAATCTTAGTATTATACATTAGTTAATTTCTTAATATAAAAGTAAATATTAAAAAAAACATCTAAATATCAATTTTTGTGTGTCAAGTGGTATGTTGAATGCAGCACTGGTTCAAATTAGATGTTTGTGATCAAATACAAATTCTTGAGTTTCTTATGAATTAGGAACTCAAATTACCAATAATGACAAGCTAGAATATAAAGTAAGATCCTCCTATCTCTTCTATTTGCTGAGATATTGCTACATTTACTGAATCAAACACAGTGGCCCCACCCACCTCTTTCCATTTTTGGAAATGCTTACGTACACCTACGTCTGTCTGTGACATATGAATAACCAATCAAAAGCTCAGAATGTCCCCTTAGTGGCTTTCTCAGCATCTTTGAAGTATTTGGGTGGCAAATTCTTTCTTATCATGCTGTATTCTAAGCAGTAAGATAAGACTCTAGTGAGCTTGAAATTTTATATTTTCTCAGACACAAATACAGCTTACTTACTAAGCTTGATAAATTATAGTGAAATTCTGTGGTATTGATATAGTTATTTATGATTTTTGGTTATTTCAAAATGTATATATAAAACTTTTAAAAAAATTGTTTCATATCCTCCACGTAACTAGAAGAGATAATTGTTTGATATACTTCTTCATTACTGTTCTGTGTTTTAAGAAAAATATCTTTAAGAACTTATTTGTAAATAGTAATAATATATATACGTATAAAATGTATTATAACTGAAATGTGACTGTATTTTACAAAATACTGGTCCACTAAAACACTGCCTAGACAAGTCACTTTGTAAAGGCCAATTTTATAATCTTGGATATGGTAACGTGAGTGCAAGTGTGCTGCATCATTGCAACTTCTGTAATGTTAGTTAGGTACGGCTAAAAGGTCAATATAATAAAAATAATGAATATATATATATATGTGTATAATGTTATGAGATTTAAGATATTTAGACTAAACATTTGCGTTTTCATGTTATAATTTGTAGTCATCCTAGAATGAAAAAAGCATAATTTATATTTATTTTCTAATTTTTTATGTTGGTTACGAGGTCAGTTAAATTGACCCAACCCATACAGAGATAGAGTAGTGGAAATAAAATACGAAGTATAAAGTTTTTTCTAAAAAAAACATTTGGTAATTAACTGGTGGTTATAAAGATTTTGCATATGAAATTTGAAAATGTTCTGATGCATAAAAGTATTCTTAATCTTAAAATTAAAATTACTTTGCATGTTGAATAGTCAACATTTGCAAAGAAGAAAGACACAATAAAAACATTACTTAAGAAATCTTAAAATGTAATTTAAAAATCTGATATTTTGTGTATCAAAGCCTTGTAATGTTTACTAGGAATCTCCAAAATTTTATAGAGATATGCATACATTATCAAAAATCATAGTATAATATACTCTCGTGGATACTTTCGTGGTTATGAGCTCGGTGGATCCCAGCCAGCCCGTATTGGTAGGGTTAAAATTTTCTACTCAGTGATTAAATAAATAAATTTTTGTCCCAGCAACATTAGTATTAAGGATTCATAGAAATATTTCTGGAATTGTAATCCTGCAGTTTAGGAATAAGAATAACTCCTGATGTCATCTCATATTCTTCAGTAATATAATATTCTATCATGCTTCTTTGATTTTCAAATCCAAAGCACTGATAGCTTAAAATTATGACAATGCTTATTTGATATTAAAACATTTCTGATTGCTCTTTGTGATGTGTGTAGAGCAAGTTGAGGCAACTGAGGATGCAGATGAAGATGACGTTCTTGATGATGATCATTTGTTGGGTGATGAAATTAAATCGACAGATGTTAATGAGACCGTGAATGAGGAAGAAATTTTGGGAACCTTACCACAGCAAGAAACAGAAATCACAGCTAAACCTACTGTTAAAGTAAAACCAAGCCATATCACTCTTTCTCAGCAACAGTTGACCAAAACGTGTGCTTCCAAGTCACCCTCAATTATGGGTAAAGTTTCTGGGGTTACCAAAATTACACGTCCTGTGATACAACAATCACTCACTTCAGAAAAACCCACGAAGGACACTATTACCACAGAAGAAAATAACTCTACAGATAAGAATGTAGTCCTCACTTCTATAAAAAATTTGACCCCAGAAAAGGTATTTTTTAAATTTTTACATCTATTTAAGTTTTATGTGTATAAAGTTGTTAACTAGAGCTATATTTGAATATGTAGTTTCCCTGGAAACATTTTCGGCAGGCAATTTTCTTGTCCTGCAATGATCCACTTAACTCTTCACATAGTATCCATTTCTTGCATGCTTGTTTTTGAGATTTTGCACACGCATTTATAAAGATTAACATAAGACATTCATGTGGTAGCATGGAAATCGGGCACTGTGTAAAGCAAAGAGCTCACATAAAGAGTACTACTGCATTATACAATTTACTTGCTTTTTCATTTGTATTGTACTATTAATGTATTAAATCTCCAACTAGCTGTAATTCCTCATTGTCTGTGACTCTTTTATGTGTATTAAGTCTTTGTTCCCATAATTATATCTGATTGTATCTTGCCTAACATCTCTTACCTTCGTTTTTCTTGGGTTATTTTTGAAAAGTGAGGTCCCCGTATGTCTATCTTAAAGATGTTAGAGTAAACATTGGAAAAAGAAGGTCCTGTTTCATCTGCAATCATCATGTTTCATAAACTATTTCAATTCCTGTCAGATCTTGATTCACCCGAAGTATTTCAGGATCTTTTGATTGAGATTTTGAGAAACTGAACCTGTAAGTAAAGCAGGGAAAACAGCATTGGTTTTATAAACATCTTGTTTTGATTTGTGAAGACATGCTTCCTGCATGTGTGTGTATATATATATATATATATATTTGTATATGTAATTTATAATGAGGTTTTGGTAGTAATTGTTTCTTCCCTTATCAAGGTTATAACTATATTTTGTTTTATTATGCAGTAAGTTTATTTATTTGTTACTTTGAAGAAAAAAAGCTCAACTTTCCTGCAATTATTTGTTTTAGGTCATTCATTTGGTGGAAATGAATTGTTTTATAAGGTTCATAATGACTTGTATCATGTGGTGAGATTGAATGTGTAAACTTTTAAAAGACATCACAGCTTACTACTTTTAACCAGTGAACTTTTAACTCATTCACAAAGCATTCTAGGTGCTATGTTGAAAGAGTGAATGTTAACTCACATAACTGGATCACTTGTTACCAGTGTTCTTGAGTCACACACATTATTCAATGGTTGCCTAAATTTGTATTTCTGTGAATAATGGATAAAGTAGGTATTGCTGCTATACCAAAGTATTACAGGTGATCGAGTTCTAGTTATGTTTTCTCTAACAGTGCTTGCTCTTTATGCTGTGTCTCACAATGAAGGTATTTGTACAGAGACACTGTCATATATATAACAACTGCCTTTGTATTTGAGATGTTATTAAATGCATGACATATTTTAGTCACTTTAGAAACTGTTGGTTTTGACACACCCACAATATTTCCAGTCTTTCATGCCAAATGGGTCCCCTTTTAACTCTTTTAAATCCTGTAAATGTTTCTTGGAAGAAATTGTATCTAAAACTGATGCATGGCAGGGATGACTAACTTTTGTTTTAGAGACATATTTTTTGAAACTAAACCATATCAAGTATAGCTGACCTTTATCTACATCATACACACAGACTAAACATCTGGGAATGATGTTGCCTGGTAAACATGCTATTTGAAACTAAACCATATCAAGTATGGCTGACCTTTATCTACATCATACACACAGACTAAACATCTGGGAATGATGTTGCCTGGTAAACATGCTATTTGAAAATAAACCATATCAAGTATGGCTGACCTTTATCTACATCATACACACAGACTAAACATCTGGGAATGATGTTGCCTGGTAAACATGCTATTTGAAACTAAACCATATCAAGTATGGCTGACCTTTATCTACATCATACACACAGACTAAACATCTGGGAATGAGGTTGCCTGGTAAACATGCTATTTGAAATTTAACCATATCAAGGATTGCTAACCTTTATACACAATCATATACACACAGACTAATTACCTGGAAATGAGGATACCTGATAAGCATGCTATATAAAACTTAACCATATCAAGAATGGTTAACATTTATACACATTGTACACAGAGACTATAAACACTTAGAAATGATGTTGCCTGGTAATCATGCTATATGAAACATAACCATATCAAGGATGGCTAATGCTTATACACATACTAAACTTACAGAAAGGAGCTCTAAAGCTTACTGAAACTAGTTAGTGTTTAATTTTATTTCTGCTAAACCTCTTATCACTCAGTGTTAAAATTTTGTTTATGATAATCCATATAAAATTTGTTAATTAAAAGTATTTATTTTATTTTTCAGAAAAACTCCATAAGCGTGAACAAATTTAATACATTAGATAGTGCCAACAAACTGCAGGCAAGAGCTGAAAGGTTGGTAAAAAGATTTAAATAATATATACATGTACATAGCTGGAAAGTAGTTAAAATTATTCCTGTTTAGGCTTGTGAACATGATTATAAAAGTGGCTTTGAGCTTTTTTTATGAAAACTCAGTGGATTAAACTCAAACAGTTGAGTAGAAGTGAAAATTTAATTTTTACCCATATGAGAATAGGAAACTTGCTGAATGCAAAATTCTGAAATGGTACTACCTCACACATAGCTATCTCAACCTCCATTTGCCCTCTAAGTATTGCTAAAATTTAGAACAGCATAACAGTCTTTTATACTTCTATATTTTTTGCATATTTACAGAAATATGTGCTGATCATGTGACCACCCTCCACCAATCCTTATACTAGTGCAGGTAGCTCCCTCTACCATTGCAGCACAATCCCCACTTTCTCGATTGTCATTCTAGTGTATATATGTGTTTTAACTTATTCTCCAGATGCCTGCACAATTTTGATTGTGCTTGATCATCAATTAGTATCAGTTTCCTCTTCAAGTTTCGATTTCACAGATATTCCTCCCCTCCGATCTGCCTCATCTTCTGGGTCTTTTCCATTATCCACACCACTCCTCATTGTGTTTCAGCTGGTTGTTCTGTATTAGCCACTCATCCTCTGCTCTGGTCCTTACTGGAGCAACAAACCTTGCCCCTTTTCTCTGTCCTGTCCCCTCTTCAGTCAACCACAATCTGATGTTTTTTCATCCAGACATCACCACACTCCATGTTTCCAAGTGACTTTTGTCTGGTTGCATGCCTCAGCTTAGTGGCTCACCCCTATTTGCCTACTCTCTGATCTGACTCGTCTTTTGGGTTTTTTCCCTTATCCAGACCATTTTTTATTGTGTTCTATTGGTTGCTCTGGATTGGCCCGGCTCCAACGTAGTTCCTTCTGCTCTGGCCCTTCCTGGAGCAGCAGACCCTGCCCTTTCCTCTGTCTTTTTCACCCTTACATCAACCGCAATCTGACATTTTTCATCCTGATGTCACCACACTCCAACTTTCTATGTGTCTTTTATCTGGTCCCCAACCTCAGCTCAAGGACTCTCCCCTTGTGTTGCATCTTTCCTTGCCTGTCCCTTTCGTCCTTCCTCTTTGTCTATTTACCAGAAGCATTTGTCTTGCTTCTGTCTTTAGTCTATTTCCCATGGCTTCCGACCCTCCTGTACTTCTGTTCCTCACCTGTCCCGGCTCTTCATCTGGTTTTGATCAGTGGTTGTCTGTTTCAACTATTGCTTTTTATAGAGCTTCCTTGTCAAACACCTTCCAGTCCCCCACTTCCAGAAAGCTTTCTCTTCCCTGGGTTTTCCGTTTCTTTCATCTGGTCCATCTGATATATTCTTCTGTTCTACCGGATTGGGATCTTAATGTTCTTATTCTTCTCCTGTCTGGTTCTCCCTTTGAACCCATTGCCATTTATTACTTGTACCAATTTTCCCTTTAGATCTAAATTGTCACCATCCTGGGATGCAGTCATCATTGTTCTGATTTTTATGCCATTCTGTCCCATTCCTCCTATCTTATTTGTTATATTGATCAGGCATTCCTTCCCTGGACTGCCCAGAAGTTTGTTTTGCCTTTTCTTCTATTTCCTTACCTTCCTTTTTCCACCTGTATTTTCGTTCAGTTCTGAATCATCTCCTTTATCCAGTTTGTTTCCTTCTATGTTGTTTGTCTTGTACTGCCTCCTTTCATTGTTCTTGTACCTGTTTCATTGTTCCATGGCATTCCTCTGTTTCCTCTGATCTTTCACTTATTATGCTTATAGGTTGGGTTTGTCAACTCATACGATTGGCATATTTTGAGGTGTCCCTGGCAGGTTGCCGTCTACATATTGTTTCTTCACACCAAATTCGTCATCTGACTAAGTGTTTAGCTGCTCAACACTGCCATCTTTTGGAAAAGATCATGCAGGCTGGTATATGGACAACTCCCTATACATTCGTCACTTTTTCTCCGCACAACATAGCTGCGTCTTCCTCAAGCAGGTATCATCTTCCTTCTGTGGCAATTCTACACACGTCTGTTTGCCTTTGACTGGGATAAGTCATCGTCTTACTTTTTTATCTTATTTCCTTGTTTTACATCATATTTCAGGATTCCACCTGGTAGCGGGTGTTGCCTGGTGAAGTGTGCTGAGTCTTATGTCTTAGCACTATGTCTGTATACTTCTATGATGTTCATTGTGGAGATAGGGTGTTTCTGTAAGACCACCAGCTGCTTATCTGGTGGTGTATCCATATCTATGTATATCACTATATATATATATTTATGTATGCACTGAGGACCATCACTCATGGACTTCACAAGTAAAGCAGATAAGGATTTTTGACCATCCCTACTGACAGGTCTTTCTGCCTTTCAAAATAAGGAAACTCAGACACCCATTGCACCATCTCCAGTGGGTTGTTCTTCCAGACCCCCCCCCCAATGCGTATTCCCCCCTCTTTCTTTTAGTGGGAAGAGGGTTATCGTAGTTATGCTTCAAATTCTACAGTACAAATTATGCTATTCACTATCTTAGCAAGGTGCCTCCACTAGATGTTTTCTGCCTGGATGGACCACTCTTGTCAAACTACATCATGTCACAAGGTGCTTCCCCCAGACGTTTTTTTTTTGTCTGGGGAGACTGCACTTGTTGATCCCCCAATATCTTACGTGCACAATATGACACTAAATCTATTATGCAGGAGCTTCCACTGGATGTTTTCTGCCCGGATGGACCACACATGACATATTCAAATATATACCAAGGTACTTCCCGTGGGTGGTTTTTTTGCCCAGGCAAACCACACTTGGCCTCTTCATATATGGTCCTCTAGCCCTAGCCACATATTCTATTTGATTCCACCCTGTATGTCTTCTTCTCTTCTTTACTGAGTGAAGAGCATACTTGTTCTAGACGTAGTGCTATACCCCACAGTTGTGCCTCCTATTTTATTTGCGGCACACCTGTTTTTTTCATGGCGGTTATTCTCTGCTTGATGAATTGTTTTTGCACCCTCCACCTTTCCAATGTGGGATTCTAGCTATTTGTGAGAGGAGGTAGTACTGTTTCGGAAGTTAACATTTTCCAACTCTGAAAATGTATTTCCGATAGGTACTAACCTCCTCTCACACACTTCTCACTCTTCCTCTCCACTGTTTGGCGTTGTTTCAGGTTTGTATATGCCAATTCTTGAAAGTGAGGATTGTACCTGCACCAATATAGGGGGCACAATGGGATTGGTGGAGGGTGGTCACATGATCAGCACATGTTGCTGCAATGACACCAGAAATATAGGGGTATAAAAGTCTGGTGCGCTTTTCTAAATTTTAGCAATGCTTAGAGGGCAAAGGAAGGTCGAGATAGTTATGTGTGTGAGTAGAGGTAAGTACATTTTCAGTGTTAGAAAGTGTTAACCTTCTGTATAATGTACTTTTTAAAAATAAGAAAACTAATAACCTGAGTGCTTTTTGGAAGATATACCATCCTTTTATAGGGGTGAATTGGGAATGAGTGGTAAGTGTTTGTAATTAGAACTAATAACCTGAATGCTTTTAGAAGATAGATCATCCTTCTTCAGGTATGAATTGGGAATGAGTGGTAAGTGTTTGTAATTAGTGATGAATGAGTGTTGCATAAACAATTTTTGGTGTGTAAAAGGATAAATATAGGGTGAAAAAGGGGAGTGTGACAATTGAATTATTACTAATAAAGCTAGAGGAGGAGAGAAACAAAAGAAAAGTAATTTAAACAAGAAAATTAAAAGGTTGGTTGTGGAAGATGAATTTTTAACCTGCAAAATATTCTACTTGGTAATTTTTACTTTTTTTCTATTATGAATCAAGATTTCTGATACAGTACATTACCTATTCTCACAGATATAGTAACATTTATTTTATTTGAGTAATATTGAATTCACTGTGAACTAGTATAATGATCTCTTTTGTAACTTTGTGTAATAGGGTATGGTATATGTTATGTTTTGGTGTGAAAATTACAGTGTTCTTGAAAACTTTTTTTAGCTTTGATATGAAGTCTAAGTAGGGGGTTCAAATACATTTTGAAACTGGATGATGTAATGTTTTATTCTTTACCAAATTTCTGAACATATAGCTTAAATTTACATAAATTTTTTTTATGGTAACCCAGATGAGAATCTGATGAATATTGGAAATTTAAGAAACCAAATAAATGATGCTAAAGTTTTAAAACTCACTTGTTGATATGTATTACTTAGTTTTTGGAATGCCCTAATTGAGCTACTAGTAAATATGTTGTCAACATCACAAAAAGCAAACCATCAGATGCCCCTAGCATTTACAAACTATAGTTTGAAGTAACTTAAATTAAGGGTTAGATGCAAGATATGATTATTGGAAATAGTTAGCTTGTTTTTGTTGTAGTTGTATTATTTTTTGCTTTTCAGATTTGGACTACCCAATAAGAGCTCTGTCACAACTACAGGAAGTTTAAAACCAACAGCTTTATCAGGTTTAGTGTTAAACCCGTAAGGAAATCAGTTTATCCTGTATTTTTTATCCTAGTATATTATTAACATAACCTGCATGAACTGTTAACATGCAATGTTTTATTAAAGTATGTGATTTTAATCTGCCATTTTTGTATTGTAATGTCTTTTATTAACTGCAATGTTTCACAAAAACAATAGGTGGTTTTCTCCTCGACAGTTTGTGTGTGCATGAAAACTATAGTATATACAAAACACCACTGCTGGTTATTTTAATTTTTTATTCAAGGTTAGTGACAGTAGCATGTAAAACATCTGTACCACTTACAGTTGTATGGTAACGGTTACCCTGAGTATCAAATGGTAGGAACCAAATAAGTAATTATTTGTTTAAATAGGAAATAGAAAAAGGCATTCGCACCACAATTATTATCATAACAAATGGCCTATATAAATAATGTGCTGACCACTGCTGTTGTGTCTCAGCTGATCTAATGAGCTCTGGATTAAGTATATATCAAACATAGTGTGGTTGAAATACTATGATTATACCCACTTCTAGTTTTTGAAAATCCTTAAGGAACTAGATAAAGAATGTAGTGTTAACAAATATAATAGGCATAATACTAACATTGTATTAGTGTTAACAAATATAATAGGCATAATACTAACATCGTAGTAGTGTTAACAAATATAATAGGCGTAATACTAACATCGTATTAGTGTTAACAAATATAATAGGCATAATACTAACATCGTATTAGTGTTAACAAATATAATAGGCATAATACTAACATCGTATTAGTGTTAACAAATATAATAGGCATAATACTAACATTGTATTAGTGTTAACAAATATAATAGGCATAATACTAACATCGTATTAGTGTTAACAAATATAATAGGAGTAATACTAACATTGTATTAGTGTTAACAAATATAATAGGCGTAATACTAACATCGTATTAGTGTTAACAAATATAATAGGCGTAATACTAACATCGTATTAGTGTTAACAAATATAATAGGTGTAATACTAACATCGTATTATAAGTATAATTAATTATAATCATGCTTTGCTAGCTTGGAAAAGGTGTTCACACCATAAAATACACTTTTATTGTCCATAGGTTATTTGGTGTGAACACTTATATTATTGACATCACAGTAGACATAAAACGTAGCACGTACTATTTCTGTTCTCAGTTTTTAGATTAGATTTTAATATATGCAGAGGTGTAACTTAATCTTAATAAGAAACTTTCCTACTATGCATAAATCGGTTTAAAATGTATTTAACTGTAGTGTATGGGATTATTTATCATTATAAACATCTTAAGGTTAAACAGTTATAAGTTTACTGGGTAATAGGTATGATCACTGTAAGATTGATAGTATTATTCAGATCTTCCTCTTCTACTCTAGGGTAGGCTTCGAGTATGTAATTTAGTCAAGTAAGAAAGATGTGATTAGTCTTATTGTGATGTAACACAACAGCTGCTACTAATTAACAGTATTTGGCCAGATTAGTTATACCACAGAAACATGTAAGTTTGTTTGGTTAAATAATTTTGTTTTTGATGCAGACTTTTATCTTCATGTACACATTTCATTAGTTTGACAAAATGACTTTCTCGTACTAATACTTTTGGTGTAAGTTTGGAGTAGCTCATGTCAATTGTAATTTAAGAGTGATTGTCAAATCTCACTGTGTGGTAAGAAATGAACATCCCAAGATTTGGTTATAGGTGCTATTGACTAGCTATCCTCCTTCTAATGCATCATTTCAAAAATCAGAAGTGGTTATGCACAGATAGATCTTGTGTAGATTTGCACAAAAATTCTGAAAGAAACAAATACAAAAACTGGTGTCATATTATGGAGACCCACAGAGATGTTTTGTATGTATATGTATTAATTACTTTGAAAATGAGTAAACAGTGCAAGAACAACTAAAACAGACATATTATTGTTTATGAAAGGAGTGTAGAAATGTAAAGACGTGAAGTATGTGATTAAGTCGCATGCTTTGTTATATTAGTTACTAATGGAATACGAGTTTAGCTGATGGACTGTATGGCATGCATGGAAAAGAAATAAGAAGGAACAGTGATGGATCATGCATAAGGTTTTTTGTCTAAATTGTTGTACACAGTTTTTATAATATTTCCTTGTTCTTATTTTTTTAATTGTCTAAAAATAAGATTGAAATTTTTTTATGTGTGGAAAGCTTTAGTAAAAAATAACAAGTGTTTTACTATCAATTTAAAAAAATCATTTTTCAACTAAAAGAAGACTATGATAAAAATTAGAAACTACTGTCTACCAGTCATTGAATTTAAAATTTAATGTGATCATTATTTATTTGACATTATCAAAAGTTAGCCCCCCCCCCCATTAGCTCGGTGGTAAGTCTGAAGGCTTATAATGTTAAAAACCAGGTGTTAATACTGTTGGTGAGTTAACTGATAACCCATTTTGTAGCTTTGTGCTAAAGAACAAACAAACAAATATTGTAGGTTATTACAGGAGATAGACCTGTTTAATAGTATCTAGTGATGTTATTGCTGTGCTACATTATAACTCATGTTTTCAATAAGTAATGTAGAACATAATCAATATAGAACACCCTCGTTACAAATCAGCTGATAAACTATGGATCAGCCAACTGGGCAAGCTCTCGTCCCTCCATTAGTGCTTTGGGAAAGAATGCCCAAGGGGTACAGAGGAACAAAAAAGATTGGGAAACCTTGCCCTAAGCCAATCTGGGGAAACGCACTCGTACACAAAATGAATATGAAGGTAATAATAGGACCCAAAAAGCTATTGCGATAGAACTAAGTATATCTCCTGGTACCATTAACGATTTATCTTATGTGTTTCCAACGGATTTTTCATTTTCCTTCAGCTTAAATTTGATTGTGAAAATAGACGTCCTTGCACCGTGGATGAACCGCGCGAAGCTTATCAAGATCTGACGTTTACAGTTTACATTGCTCTCCTTCGCAGAACTTTCTTGCAGTGAGCTTGCTATGTCGGAAAATGACGTGTAATCCAGGCCATCAGAGTGGCCACGATCTACAATAGCAAAATTAATTCCAAGAGCACCATAGCCCTGGAACTTTGCTTTTGTAAAGTATAATTATTTCTTAGTAGCTTGTTTTACAAGTTACACAATGTGTTATATACACCCTGTCCACCGCGGTAATCGAATCCCGTATTTTACCGCTGTAAGCCCATAAACTTACGGTTGATTCACCAAGAGACTCTCAGTAACAACGCATGTGTAAAACGTTTAAGAATGTTTAAATAATTTTAAATATAACAGGACAAGAAATTTTTCAAACGAACTAAATTACAACAGTCAAATTAGATTCGCGTATATATATTTTTTATTAATATATTTCATTTACGACATGAATCCAAGAAAGTAGACTTTCTAACAAACAATATTGTAATGAAAAAAAACAATAAGTGAAAAGAAGCTCCGGAACTAGGGATCGAACCCAAGATAATTGGCTAGAAATATCAATACTCTATAGAAATGAGCTAACTAAGAATATAAACAATTTCTTCTCCCCTCACTCGCTTTTTAACCGAGTATGAAACTTCGTTGTGTTTTTTTGTCGTCAAGCAGTTTTTGTAAGTTGATTTTACACCACCCAACCAAATGATATTAAATATGTGAATTTTTTTCTCTCTTATCACACTTTTAACATCACCTCACCGGTGTTGGATTTCTTGTTTAGTTCAGGTGCTAAGTTCTTTATGGCTAATGTTTCTTTTAATCTTAGCCACTGCTCATTTTCAGCCTTTCCGATAATTTGGAACTGTTCAAATTTCTATATTTACATTCACGCATTTTTCTTTGTGATACCAAATATATATACTTTATTATTATTTTATTTAATTCGTAACATGAATCAATGAAAGAAGATTTTCTAACAAACAACTTTCACATAAATCTTTACAAATAAATCGCACTTTTTGGATGTACTGTGATAATCAGATGCTAACTGATATTTTAGTAATTGCAGGCAAGACCGGCTTCTGTTAGAGCTAAATTTAACATTCTGTTTTAGAGCCTACATAGCAGCGCCAAACAGTAGATGTCGGAATTTTACAGAATCGTCATGCTCGATTTTTCCAGAGATTCATATGCCAAATACTTTAGCTAGTAAGACGACACAATACGGGATGTACTTTGTGGGTCTTTTTCATTTTACATGTATTCGTAACTCAGAATGTGATAACAAACATTGCATTCAAACATTTCCATGATCGTTGGAGCATCACAAAACAATCCTGACAAAGAAGAACAGTGTTAATAATTGTAGTTAAGACCAGCTCTGTCAATGCTAAATTTAGCACATTATTCTGGTGCTTATTCAGCGACAGCAAACATAAATGGATATTTTCATGATGTAAAAGCATATGATTGGCTATAAACAACAATAGTTTACTGTCTTTGATAAATAAAAGTGCTCAGCCAAGAATGTTTGCATAAATTCACGTTTAACAGCGTTCTGCCTAGCAATGATCTGGATATTAAACACTCCTGTATTAAAATATAAGGCCCGGCATGGCCAGGTGGTTAGGGCGCTCGATTCGCGATCAGAGGGTTTCGGGTTCGAATCCCAGTCCCACCAAACATGTTCGCCCTTTCAGCCGTGTGGGGGCGTTATAACGTGACGGTCAATCACACTATTCGTTGGTAAAAGAGTAGCCCAAGAGTTGGTGGTGGGTGGTGATGACTAGCTGCCTTCCCTCTAGTCTTACACTGCTAAATTAGGGACGGCTTGCGCAGATAGCCCTCGTGTAGCTTTGCGCGAAATTCAAAAACAAACAAACAATTAAAATATATACTTTCGTTGTCTAGCCTTGTACGCTTGCAATATATGTATCTATGTACACATATGCTGCATGTGTTCAAGGAAGAAAAGCATGAATCTAAAGACTACGTACACTACGAATATGTATAGTATTTGTATTTTATTCTGCTTTGATCAGAATCTGGAAAGTCGTTTTCTTTTCGTATA